ATATATATATATATTATGTATTATATAGTATTATATATATATATATATATATATATATTATGTATTATATAGTATTATATATATATATATATACACACGCACGCATGCATGCACTCACACATGTATATATGTTCAGTGGTTCAAGATGCAAAGAACGAAGACTATGGATCTCAGATACGATGAATTTTGCCTGATCATCATGCATCATCATTGACCAATGTTCGAGAACTTTAAAGTACGTAGTAAGAATCTGTCTTTGTAAAAACATCAATTATATCGATAATAATCCGTCTCTACGGCGTCACGAGATTCCGATTATACGTAATTCACGCGAAACGGATTTTCTTGCAACACGTAATTGGAATTGTAACTATGAAAGGAAAAGAAATCCTAAATATAGAGATACAAATATTTATCTTGGGAACTAACGCGTAATTTCTTTTTTTTTTTACGTTTCCAAGTTGAAGAATGTTGTGCAAAAAATTAGATTAACTTTTTTCTTGTCATTTATCGTTTGAAAAATGTGACACATATAAGCGAAAAAAATTTATCTACAAAAAATTTGGTTTTTATATAACAATTATATTAAATAAAACGAGTAAATTTTATACAATTTATAAAACGAAAATTTCCCTAAATTATCCATATAATTCATTAGCTAAGATTAAATTCTAAACGAGAATATTGATGAGAAGAAACGCCGACATATAATGAATAAAAAAAATTCTTCATAAAGTGTAAATGTTGACCGTTCTGATCGCCATAGACTTAAAGTTACAAAAATAAAAGATGTCAGTACATAGAGAGATATCATTTGCAGGACTCGTTGACGCGAAGAAGCAAAAATATGAGTTTGTTAGTGCGAATGGAAACACAAAGACGAACGTGGTCCAAAGTCATATCATTTATTTAATCCGTTCGTAACCGAACACACGTCATCACAGGTGTGAATCATTTAAGAGACTTACCCAACATCATATGTTCATTTGTTCACTTGCATTAATAATATTTGTTATGATATATACATTATAAAAAAAGATGTCGAATATATAATGAAAATAGAAAGATGAAAAATAAATAATAATAAAAGAAAGAAATATGAAGGGAAATAAAGTAAATTAAAATAAACAAATTAAGAAAAAAAAACAATAATAATAATAAATCAAAATACGTGTGCGTGCGGGTGTGTGCTTATACGACATAAACAATACTTTTTATGATATTATATATAACCAAAAGATGTAAAATAAAATAAAAATTAGAAAAGATGAAAAATAAACAGAAATAAAAAAAAATAGAAAAAGAAAGAAATATCAACAATTAGAGTAAACTTAAATTAAGAAAAAATACTAATCAAAATAATGAATCAAAATTATATATTTTTCCGTCGTCGTTCGAAAAAGATAAGGAGGAAAATTACGATCGTTTCAACGAAACTCATTATGCGTCTCTATAATGTGTAACAAGTAAGATTGCTGTTCTGTTATTGTATAACGATTCACTACTACTAATTTACTAAGAGGATGCGCAACAAATAAGCAAAGAGGAGTGTAGTAGGAGTGAGAAATCGTTCTTCGGTTTTAATGAGCACGGTGATAAGGTGTGATTCACGGTCTCTCTGATGATATAATATGAAAAAAAAGACAAAAAGTAAGAAAGAATACAAGACGCTAAGAGACATATAATATGTCGCGTAATTAATCGGATCATCGTGCCGGATTTTTAATATCTTCCATCTCTTTTTCTATTCTCGTCTTATCCACAAATTATATCATATCGAACACATATTTCTTGTTAATAAATAAATATGTTATTAATTAAAATTTACATCCGTTTAATTTTCTTTTTTCTATAAATTTTTTTCAATGAATAATTCAACGATCAAATTTTATAAATGATCCAATTATTGTATTTGTAAATTACTTAAAAATTAATTTGTAATAACATTATTGTAAATAAGTAATATATATAAATAAAAATAATAATATATAAATAAAAATTTGACCTACCAGCTTAATTTCTAAGCTTTAAAAAAGAAAATAAATATATATACAAAATATTAAATATGTGATTAAATAATAATGTTCGCGCGCTTTTGACGCAAATACATAGAAATCATTCTCGTAATATTCTATAGACATGTATACCTAATCGACATAATATATTTGTTATATTTTCATCACTATCTATTCTATTCTCTTATCCCATTTTTTATAATGATCTAATCAAACAAATGTAAACGAATCCTAACCAACGATAGTTCGACAAACAATGGAGACTAAACGACTGTCCAAAGAACGATGTTTACCATACTTAAATCATCGACACGTGTTTCAACACCGTTAAGACGTAGAATAAGCCGATCATGAAAAATTCATCATTGTTACCTCTGTCTGTCTATCGTGATCCTGAAAGAGGTACAGTTATCTTAATACCGTCGATGCGAATTCAAGCGTGGCCTCTTTTCCAGAGAAAAAACAAAAAGAAAAAAAAAAGGAAGAAAAATATAATAAAAATAAGGGGAAAAAAGCGTACAACATTGCTTAGCAAGGTTTGATCATACCGGAAGAGAGTTATTCATGTATTTTACTATAATAATAATAATAATAATAATAATAATAATAATAATAATAATAATAATAATAAAAATAATAAAAATAATAATAATAATAATAATAATAATAATATCTCTTTAAGTTTAACCGTACGATGGAAAGGTGAAAAAAGGTGAGAATAAAAGAGAGTGGGCGACAGGCTTGAGAAAAATATTTTCCATCCCCGCCATGTTAACACTATTCATCGATCGAGGTAGAAAAAGGTAGGAAAAGGCGAAATGCGAAATGCAAAAGGTCACATCCTTCTTATGGCTTTGCTTATGAAAGAACAGTTCATTTTAAAATTCATTAATCGGCGCTTTATTTTCTTTTTTTATATATAGGAACGTTATTATCTTTTTAATGACAAAAAGTTATTCAAAGTTATGGTTATTATCAAAAAGATCGATTATTCTATTGTTACGAAAAAAAAAAAAAAACAATATATTATTCATCTTACATTTTTCTTTTAAATCGTGTAAATTCTTATCTCATGAATTCCTTTTTTTCGCCGAGAACAATAATTTCGGAGTTAATGGCAGCGATAATTTAACGTATCATATTCGACAATGAATTAATATTTGCAGAGCTCGCTTGTATAAATATTCATAAATTTTCTATAACGTAAAAATGAACGTTGTGAAACGTAAATATCTGATATAGATACATTTGTATACACATACAGATATAAATCTATCTAGCTTTTATATGTCAGTGTGTACGTACGTATGTGTATATATATATATATACGATATATTATTATATATTATATATATAACATGAATATGTTAAGATTTCAACTGATACTAAAAATAATACCGATATTTAAATTATAATCGTCATTCGAATATTTTTACACTCATATCTAAAAAAAAAAGTAATTTTACTCATTAATTGCCAACGACATCGACATCGACATTGAGTATAACACACGTGTATATTATATATGTAATGTCAATGACTATAAAAAAAATCACGATTTAATCATTTTTGAAAGATAGAAATAAAGTAAACAAGTATATATATATATATATATATATATATATATATATATATATATATAAAAGTTAAAATATGTATGTGTTTATTAAATAAAGAGTTCTATATCGTTCAACGTATCAGCACCAAATTTGGTATTAAATATCGACGTCCTACAAAAAATATTATGTGAACTCTTATACCCAATAACTTAAAATTCACTCTCTCTTAGCAATAGTCCGACTAATTTTTCTGTATAGTAGCTCAATAATTTTCAATGATTTTAAAGGGGAATATTCGTAAAGAAAATTCATTCTTTACATATTTCCCCTTAATAGTAAAATAAAAAATTAATAACTATGATTTTTTAAAGAAATAAAAAATATCTGAACGATTTTTAATTTATTGTGAAAATATTTGTTCACAAAAAAAAAAAGTAAATTTATTATTAAAAAGTAAAATCAAGTAAAATAAAGTAAAATAAAGTAAAATAATTAAAAACTAAAAGTAAACTAACTAGTTTAAGAAAAAAAGAAAATGGGAAATGAACGTGTAAAGTGAAATTTCAACAAGTGAGAATTCGAAGAAAAATATGAATATTTAAAAAAATTATTTCATGAAGATTTAAAAAGCAATTTTATTACTTAGTGAAATAAAAGTAATGAACGAAAAGAAAAAGAAAAAAGATCACAGCTGTTTTTACTTTATCGCCTCAGAGGTCTGAGAGACATTGCAGGAGATTCATGCGAAATTAAAAGGAGAATAATTTAATGAATGTAATCAGTGATAACAGTTAATTATAAAAAATTGTTTTTAATAAATGTTCAAGAAAAAGAACAATTTGATTAACTTAAAACCAATCTTCTCAAAACCCCGAGCAACGCCAACTATTTATGCATAAAACACGCGGTTAGTTTTATACATAAAAATGAATTTTAAGAACGAAATTAAAAAGTATTTATATTAGAGAAGACATAATGTATTCATAAAAATGTCTCGTGCCTTTAAATGCGCGCAACGTGTTTCAAATGCTGCGCGCTCGAACGAATCTTAAAAAGTACCCGCGGAATTCTCGTCTAACTCTGAGAACGTTCATATTAGAGGAAATACGACGAAGAAGCCAATCGGTTGTTCAAACTCGTTCGAAGCTAGAGCCTCGTTAAGAAAAAGAAATAGGACGGAGACAGAAAGACAGAAAGAGAGAAAGAGAGAAAGAGAGAAAAAAAGAAATATAGAGAGAAACAGAGAGAAAGAGAGAGAGAGAGAGAGAGAGAGAGAGAGAGAGAGAAAGATGCAAAAAGAGAGAGGGAACGCGAAGCGAAAGAGGGCTAGAAGGAGTAAGAGAGACAGAAAGATAGAGAAAGAGTAGGGAGAAGTTAGAGGCTGAGAGCAAGTTTTACCTACTAGCCGAGTAGTAAACACACTCACCGATCCCTTCGACGACGTAACGATCCTTGGGGTTCATTTCCGCGATTTCCGTCACGCTTACGACGATCCTAACGCTCATCGTTCTTCTTTTTCTTCTTTTTCTTCTTCTTCTTTTCCCTCTCCCTCTCCTTCTTCTTCGTCGTTGACGAAACGACTGAACAGGACCGAATGGAACCGACCGGTTCGGTCCACGGTTATTCAGTCTTGCAAGCCGCTAACCTCCACACACCTCCTCTTCTTCTTCTTCTTCCTCTTCTTCTTCTTCTTCTTCCTCTTCTTCTTCCTTTTCTTTTTCTCCTTTAAAAAATTAACACCCGGCCAAACTCTATATTGGAAAAAAAGCGTTCGTTTGATAATAAATAAATCATCCACTATTCCTTCGTACTTTGAGAATAATCCCTCAAAGGCTAATGTTGTAAGATATTTTATTCTATAAGGATTGTTTCAATTTTTTTTATCCTTCCTCACGATCCTCCGCGAAGCTGAGGCGCCTCGCAGATAAACTTCTACGTCGCGAACGTTTTCTCGTCGACGAATTCGCGTTACGCGGAAGAGGCAAAGGCATGGTCGATTTTTTGAAAAATGTTCGATCAAACTGCGCGATCGATCGTTTATGATGAGAATATTTTTTCGCTTTTCTTTCTACCAAACATACGGTATCCTTTCATTGCTGAACCGAAAGAAAAGAGGGAGAAGTATATGTGTGTGTGTGTATGTGTGTGTGCGTGTGTATATGTATATGTGTATGTGTGTGTGTGTGTATGTGAGACAGGGAAAGAGGTTTATTTCGTTTCAAGAACACTTCTCTCAGTCACCTTCGGCACGGTATCGCGGTAAACTTGCTTTTTTGTACCGCCTTCCGTACCCAAGTCGAGGTCCTTCGATATTCTCGCGCTCGTAAGCGCGCGCACCTTCTTCCTCTTCTTCTTTTTCTTCTTCTTCTTCACAATTTTACACTTAACAAATATCTTCGTTCAATCGTTACGTTCACTAGAAATGGAAAATATCGTTTTTTTTCTCATTATGAAACATAAAAGAGACCCTTCGAAATACCGTTAAGGATCGAAAACCGTCATGTCCCTTAATTCTCGATTCTTTCCGGTTTTTATAATATGCGATGCAAGTTAACTATGTATGTATGTATATATGCATATATGTATGTATATATGTATATATATATATACATATAAATATGTATGTATATATATGTATGTATGTTTAAACACGTTAGTAAAGTTAAAAATTAAAAGAAGAGCGCAGCACTCGCGCGCGCAAAACTTACGTGTGTCGACTAAGACGTGCGACAGGTGTATGTCAGCAGTTACGATCTACAGAAGAGAGAGAGACGTCTAGGAGCCGCCGGGAAGGGAAAGAGAGTGTGTATACAGTGGAAAAGAGTGGGGGAAAACGAAGGTAGTTCCGAGCACACCTGCGACTCGCGTGCGGCCCAGTGTGCGGGCCTTCGACCGGCTCTTTGCGTTCGGATTCTATGTTCTCCTTCCTTCTTCCCTTCCCCCTTCACCTTCGCCATCTCGCGACAAACGGAACAAGGAACAAACGTCACTCGACGTACACTTCCGATTGCAACGCGGCTAATTATGTTTGTCAGTTATTACTTGATTTTCTTTTCCTTTTTTACATTTTTCTTTTTTTACTTTTAGTTTGTTAATACTTGGAAACGGATAAATGTCTTGTTAATTTTGATATCAAAAATCGAAACGATAATTTTGTTCTTAATAAACTAATCCTGTAATTTTTGACAATACGAAATAAATTTTATAAATAGTCCAATCGTTCCCTTATTATTTCTCTTTATTTATAAATATCGAGCAGTTTGTGAATGATTTATGTTCTCTATTTTATTCTATTCTTCGACTGTATACTGTGTTTACTGTACTCCTCAACTTATATTACGTTATATGTAATGAATTTGTAATTATAAAAACCATATACATTTATTATAATTCTCTTTATGCAATTTCAGTTGCTATTTATAAGGATTTTTTTAAATGATAAAATTTAATTTAACTCCAAAATAAAAAATTAAAAAGTTATTTATACAGGATTGGATTTAATATTAGAATCGGTCAATGTTACAGCCTTAAACATTACTTCTTTTTCTCTCATATATATATATATATATATATATATATATATATATATATATTTATATTCATACACATTTAGCATTGTGTATCCTCAAAATAAGATAAATTTACATTTCAATTATTGTTTATACTCAATTACTATTACCATTTATAAATTATGTTTACTTAATAAACAATACTGTTATATAAAGTAATCTATTATCTTTAAGTAATATTAGATTATACACATTTAATGTATGTACATAAGATGAAGCGTTTAAATGGGAACACCTGAATGCTAAGTTGCGTTTAAATGGGAACACCTGAATGCTCAGAATTACTTTTTTCTAAAAATTTCGTTTATTTATAAACAATACAAAACATTCAGATGTATTCCCCTTTTAATATTCCATCTAATACATTTGGAAATGTATAAACATAGATATATTATTATTTACATTCTTCACATTTCAATTAAATTTTTTTGTTTCTAAGGAAAGCAACATTTATTATAATATTTAGCGTATTTTATTTTTGAATACCTACTTGCTTATGTATTCACAATTAATTATCCTTTTTCATACGATTCGACGTCATTCTGTATATAATGGAGTCACGACCTGGGTCCATGTCCGCGATTGCAACTGTCACCAAACAAATATATATGTATGTATATATATATATATATATATATATATATATATATAAATTTAATATATATACACATATATAAGTATTATCTATTTTAATATATAATTATTATTATTTATAGTTATACATACTGCAAATAGCAAGAAGAGAGAATACGAAGACTACTCCAAACCATAAAAAGATATTAAATATAACTGGATAATTGTAAGTATAATATTTAGCATGGTTCCATTCATCCTGAAACAAATAAAAATCAATGTTTTATACTTTTTCTTTAGATTGTGTAAAATACGTTATAAATAAATCAATAAATATGAATACATACATACATATATATATATATATATATATATATATATATATATATATATATATAATATATATATATATATAATATATATATATATATATATATATATATATATTATATATATATACATATATTCTATATCTATGAAGAATATCATTTATAGAGCATACATGTATCAAAGCATATTATTCTTAAAATAAAATATAGCTATATTTATATTAAAAACAATTTTTTTATACAAAGAGTAAAATAAAACAATAATCTAATAATTTTATTCTCTATTATTCTCATCTTTGTTTAATAACTATTCGTAGTAATAATATTTTATCAAATTCGTTCGTTGATTATTACAACATTTTCCCTATAAAATCATGCATTCAAGCAAATAATGTACAATCTTGCAAACTTCATGCATAAATCACATAATAAAATAGCAAAGCTTATGTAAAACTATTGTAATAAATTTAATAGAATTTTTACATATAAGGAATTGGCTAATCATATTTTATATATAAATGGATGGGTCTACTTAACGATTTTTTTCAACATGTATAAATAATTAATAAATAAAAAATAAAGGTATATATAACAATATTATTATACTAAAAAGATTAAATATAAGTTGTATTCCTTAATTTGAACAAATGAAAATGTTTATATATGTCTTATGTCACATTTTTAACTGAAATACTAATTTTTTAAAGTTTGCAGACACAAAATCGTAGAATGCATGTGTATGTGATACCTGTCTTACATTATTTGTGTTAACATTTATTTGATTTTCCGTATTAGTTAATTCTTGATCAGACTTTTCAGTATTTCCACTATTAGTATTGACGTCATTATATTCAGTGGTGCTGCTGATATTAGTATTAATTTTGCTAGCACTATGAATACTAATATTTATATTTTCTTCTTCGTTTATATTTCTACTTTTGTCCTCTTGATCAGCTGGCTATAATACATGTTTTTTGCTAATGTAAAATTCATGTAATTCAATCTAATGTTAGGAAAATCACAGTAGCTGTATATAGGTAGTTGTTAATTTTAATGCAATTTGTGCTATAAAAAATAACCATTCATTAATAAAAATAACCATTCAAATTCAATTCAAAAGTGTGTTACTGCAGTTAATCAGATTATGAGTGTCTATTGTTATTGACGTTTCTTTGCTGTGTATAAATATTGTTCGGTACTGATATAAATTTGTAATGACAACTACTGTGAATATATACAGGATAGACAGACTAACTTTATGATCTTGATTATATTTATTTTATAACACTTTTCTACTTATAAACTTTAACTTTTATTCATAACATTTTTTAGTAATAATAAAACTAGTAAAAATAATCAAGATCAGAAAATTAGATAGTTTATTCTATATAATATTATAAAGATTACTAAGCAATGCATAATGAATTTATAATAGAAGCACAAAGTTGAGTTTAATTAACTAAATCAATTGTAAAAATTTAATGCAAATAAAATATACGAAGCATTTGTTAAATCTCTATTTTAGGGTCTATTCAATTACTTTCCAATATAAAAAATTGTATAAAAATTAGTATCCATAAAAGAAAAATGTGTATAACAAAATTTTTATACTAAAAAGGCTAAATATAATAGTATTTTTTTAATTTGAGCAAGTGTAAACGTTTATGTCTTATGTCACCTTCTTTAAACTTAAATGCTAATTTTTTAAAGTTTGCAAGCACAAAATCATAGAATGCATGTGTATGTGATACCTGTCCTACACTTTTTGTGTTAGTATTTATTTTATTTTCCATTTTAGCTAAGTCTTGTTCAGACTTTTCAGTACTTCCACTATCAGCATTGGTGTCGCTATATTCAGTGGTACTGCTGACATCACTGTTGATTTCGCTAGTACTATGAATATTAATCTCTATGTTTTCTTCATCACTTATATTTCTGTTTTCTTCTTCTTGGTCAGCTTGCTATAATACATGTTGTTATTAAGCAAAACTAAACATAGAGTAATAATTTAATCCAATTAGAAGAATCACAGTAGTTGTATATATTTAATTGTTAATTTCGGATGTGCTATTCATTATATGTAATAAACACAGGAATTTGTTACTCCAATTGATTAGATTAAAAATACCTGTCATTATTGATCTTTGTTTACTCATGTAGAAACATTATTTTATTGTAACGTAAATTTTCAATGACAACTACTGTGAATATACAGGATAGATTGATTAATTTCATATCTTTGATTATATCTATTGTATATGCAATAATTGTACTCATGCTAATTATTATTCATTAACAATAACTGTATATACAACAAAAATAATCAAGATCGTGAAATTAGATACTCATCCTGTATAATACTACATAAATTGCTCTTCAGAATTATTCATTGTACTCTTTTCATGTATATAAAAAATCTTGAAATAATAATTAAGTCATATATTGGTAATTACAATATATATATATATATATATATATATATATATATATATATATATATATATATACACACAACATAACAGAAATTTCAATTAATTATTTTCAAAGAAATAGTATAAAAAAAATAAAAATTCTATTATCAAAAAAATATTAGCACAGAAGAACAAATTTATTAATTATGTAAATTCTGCCAAAGTTTTTTTATGTTTGCTAATTTGTCAATAATTTTTTGATTGCACAATTTTTATTGTGGTTGTCATATTATTTTTAATTTGCATAAATTATAAAACAAAGTAATTTGTCATAATTTTGTCGATCTTTATGTAAAATTATCGCAAAAAAACAAATACCTTTGTAAGCTATGTATAAATTGTTTATCATCTTTTATTTGCAGTTGAAGGTGAAAAAGAGTAAGTGGTATGGTTAAGTCACACATGCACGTACACATACATACGCATGTATGTTGTATTTGTGTATAATGTTCAATCATTTGATAACGTCTGGTATCTTTCATTAATCATAATGTTGTGAAGATTATATTGCATAATTCAATCACATGTTAAATAAAATCATGCATAAGACTATATCTAATTAGATTTTCCCATTTTTGATAAAATATTTCATGCAACAATTTAATGATACCTTTTTAATAATGTTATTACTATTAAATTCAGTATTACTGGATTCCACCATGGATACTACGTTTTTATGCCTATCATCCTATAAAAGACATATTCGTTAATCAAATATAATGGAAATAATTTCTTAACCCTTATAGTTCATTCCTTTTAACTCTTATCCAAATTGCTTGAATGCAATTAAACATAGCCGGATTTAAACGTAGCTTGTCCTAATTTTATTTCATTATGTTCCTTACATATGTATACACAGTAATAATGGCTATTCTAAACATTTGTTATAAATATCTTATTTTTAAACATTTTGTATGTATCTCTCATACATAATCATAGATGACGCACTATAATAGCTTGTAGATTATATTTTATAAGAGAAAAGACTAACCTGTGCTTCTCTACGTTGCCTATCAGAAGAAATGGAACGAGTATGACGTACTAGGCTTGCATCATTTGTAAACGCTGTGATTACAACCTACGTTGGAAAGAAAGTTTTAAATTAAATTGTATTAAGAAAAAAATAGAAATTTGATATCATAATCAAAATTATTCTACAAACTTTGTCATCATAAGCCTTCGTAAATGCCTCACTAATACCATTAAAAGCATTATTCAAGAGAAGAAGAGCTTCCTTAGCAGCTGTTGAGTTTTTCCCATGTAAATCAAGTACAGGACGTAATCCTGAGACTACCAACCAGTAAACATCTGGTTTGTCATCTGCTTTAATTGCTGTAGGTACTTTCTTTGCAATTGCATGAAGTAATTGTATCTCTTCAAGAAATTTTTGGTCTTCTTCATTTGTTAAACGTAGTGCTTTTAAAGATGACTCATCTATCGGGACTGGTTTCAACTCACCAAGTGCAGATTGTCCAAGCTATATCATTGTAAATATTTAGAAAAAATATTTAATCTAATTAATCTATTAATGAACTAAAATAATCTAATTAAAATATTTAATGTAAGCTTAATTAATTAAATAAATTAATCCAATAAATAATTAAGTAATTGTTAATATATCTTAAATATTACTTCGATTTTAATTAATAACTTACAGCATCAAGACCATCTCCTAGATAAATTCTGACTAATGTGTTATCATTATCTCTTTCTGCAAGTCGCCCACTAATTGCTTGCCACGTTGTTTCTTCAATTTCATCGTCATTTAATTGAAACTTTTTTCCATTTGGCACATCTAATTTATCAACTCCTTCTACCGCAATACTAACGATAGCTTCTGGTAGTGAAAATGGATCTCTGATAGAAATACCTTCCCAAGTTCCTTTCTACAATAATAACCATTAAAATATATAAAATAAGATAACATTTGTAACGATTAAACTATAAAAATGTACTTGTTTAATGGTGAAACCCAAGGAAGCTGTAAAAATTTCTTTCAGTAAGCTTTGTAAGATCTTTTCATTTCCATGAAAAGATACACTATCTGGACTATGAAGTACAACAAATTCACCATTGGCATAAACTGCAATTCAAAACAAAATAAATAATTATTATTTTACACATTTATATATACTCTAAATAGCAGAGGTGTTGACTTTTAAGTATTAATATCAAAACATATTAATATTCACTCGTTAAACTTACCTCCAGCCAAAGTGAATACAAAACAGATAAATAAATTCAACATCTTTTCTTGTAATATTTTCATTTAAATAAAACGATGTAAAAGACACTCCCCCGATATTGCGATCGATCCTTACTATATGATCATATGACACATATTAGAAAGCGTAGAAAGCGACTTCTATATTATCATTAAATATCTAATATACAAAAAGACGATACACGATGGGCACTATATTACCAATAAATGATAAAACTAGATTTAAGATTTATATTTAAAGTCCATATAAACAAAATGTTACATGTAAAGTATATACAAACGATATATTCATTAATATTTACTTTTTTTATCTAAAACTTAAGAAGAAGAAGAAGTAAATGAATAAAGTTGTAGAAATTATAAACGTGTAGCTATTTTATTTGTCGACTAGATATCAATATTATCGATTTAACGAAAATAATTCTAGAAACTGCCGCTAGACGATGAGCGTTGTATGATCATTGGGTGTGAACTTGTCGCAAGTGTGGCACGTATAGAACTCGTGACTTTCGATGTATGGTTGTGTAAAATAGTTCAAATCTCGTGATGTTACGATATTGATTGTTAATACCTTGCGTTCGTATTATATATTGTGTGGTTATTCACGTTGACTCACATTATCTTTGAATTTCGTTGAGTTCGCTTCGTAGAGTTCTCTTTCTTACGAACACTGGTGCAGCTGAAACAATTTCTCATCCTAATAGTAAATTCTCCATCTTTTAAGATGGGTTCACTTTTTCGAAGCGAAGAAATGACCTTGTGTCAACTCTTTTTACAAAGCGAAGCTGCCTACGCTTGTGTCTCCGAACTCGGCGAACTTGGCCTTGTCCAATTTCGAGATGTAAGTTTTTCATTATCTTTCTACGAATATCTTTTTATTTCGGTATATACATGTATTACATCTATTCCAAATTTTAACATATATAGATCTCTTATGAACTTAATATATTCCAATTGTACTTTCTCTCTCTCTCTTTCTCCTCTTTCTCTCTTTCTGTTTTCTCTCTCTCTCTTTCTCTCTCTCTGTTTTCTCTCTCTCTTTCTCTCTCTCTCTTTTCTCTCTCTCTCTCTCTTCTCTCTCTCTCTCTCTGTCTCTAATTTATATTTTAATATAGCTTAACCCAGATGTTAACGCATTTCAACGAAAATTCGTTAATGAAGTACGTCGTTGCGATGAAATGGAACGAAAATTACGTTATCTTGAAAAGGAAATCAAAAAGGATGAAATACCAATGCTTGATACTGGTGAAAATCCTGAAGCTCCACAACCTCGTGAGATGATCGATCTAGAAGCTACATTTGAAAAGTTGGAGAATGAGCTGCGGGAAGTCAATCAAAATGCTGAAGCTCTGAAACGTAATTTCTTAGAATTGACTGAGCTAAAGCATATATTAAGAAAAACTCAAGTCTTCTTTGACGAGGTAAGAATTATTTAACCATTTTGTTTATGCTATTAACATATAACTGTGTGTGTAATGATGCTATATTTTTACAAATGCAATTGGAAATTGGGAGCCTAATCATTGAAAGTAGTAAAATTATATTTGCGTGTTTGTCACTGATGTGATAATTATATGGATTTTCTTATTTCTGATCCAATAAATAATATAATTCAATGAAAAAAATGTGTCCCATAAGAATTTCTTACTTCACATTTTTACGATTTCATTATATAAATGTAAAGTTTTATTAAATGAAACATTATTGGATAATAAATAAGAGTATTTCAAATTACAAAGCTGACATGTTATGTTTGGCAATTTTGTGTGGGTGATACATTGAAAATGGGTGCCTCAATTGTTAACTATACCGTATTATATTGTCATTGTTTTTGTCATTGTATCATATTTTTGAAATATAAAATGGGAATAAAAATAATATATATAAAAATTGTATAAAAATTCTATAGAAACTAATTAATGATGCGAATAAATTATTTATCTTTTAGTGTTTAAATCAATTTATAATATTGCTAATAATATTAATAATAATTATGATATAAAAGAGATATACATATATGTTATATATATAAATAATAATATAATGACTTTTAACAATAATAATCATCATGACAATAATAATGACGATGTTATATTTTATATAAATTTTATAGTAAAATTTAATCTTAACAAAAGAATAATTTTTTATTTGGTAAAAGATATGATGAGAAAAAATAAAAATATCTAATAGTTGAAGAAAAATTCATATATTGGGGATAGAATTAAATGATATATAAATATTTACAGATTTTGTAAACATATAAATGCACATGAAAAAAAATCTGGATATAAATTCAAACTAACTCATTCATTTTGTCTATTTCTACTCTCTTTTCTTATCTTTCTGTTTCTCTTTCCATATATATATATATATATATATATATATATATATATATATATATAAATATGCATATTTTTGAACTTTTTTTATTTCTATTTTCCATTTTTAAGACTGAAATTATTATAAAAAAAAATTTCTTATAGTATAATGAACACAAATAAAATTTAATCTTTATATTTTATTATATAAAAATTTTGCCTGTTATTGTATTGGTAATTTCTTAATGTTGAATATATGTTTTTCTTTTGTTTTTTTCCTTATTTTATTCTATTTATTTATTTATTTATTTATTTATTTATTTATTTATTTATTTATTTATTTTAATGTTTTAAATCAATATTTAAGGCGTGTAAAAAAATGCTTTGAACTTTGCAGATATTTATCTTTTTGCACTATTCAGTAAACTAATAATTTATGTTGTGGATAGTATGCCTTAATTTCTTTAATGAAGCATTTAAATAGAAATTTCAATTTATAATTTCTCAAAAGCAAGTTTAATGAACAATCTGTGAATATGGGTATGAGAACAACTATGATGCATGTAAAATTTTTAAATAATGTAATAATTACGCGATGCAATATTTACAAATGCTTAAAAAGTTTAATTTAAAGCCAATATATATGTTGTATATATATATATTTATATATATATATATATATATACATATATTCATATATATATATATATATATATATATATATATTCATTTTATAAATTAAGAATATTAAAGATTATACTAACGTTAATAATAATTTTTAAAAAGTCGGATCTTCTTTATATTATAATGTTTTCGTTTTGTGTTACTAATAATACTATTGAGTGATTTTAGGACATGTAATGTGTTACTATTGCCAACTAACCAAGTTGCAGAATCGCAAAAGACACATGTCACTTATTATGCCCTACTTCCCAAAGTTCCTATATAATTATTGTTTTCTTTCCTGAATATGGTTAAAAATTATTTAAAAAGAATTCATTATTTTAAAAGATATATATGTCAGATATAGACATATAATAAATAGATATAATTTTATCTACATGCATCAATAACATTTTGCATTTATATATATTTTATATATAATGTACATTTACACACAAGAGAATCATTAATTGAAAAAATACATTTATATAATGCACATTTGTGCTAAGAATTAATTCAAGATGCATAATCAATTTAGAAAATATGATTTGGAATTAAAATATTCTTTTTGTTAATGTCTCAATTTGTAATTGTACTTATGTTGTGTAATTTCATTATTTTAGTATGTGCACATACTTGTTCAAGTAATATAATGTAGCTGTAGAATATATGTTGCATACAAATTTATATTCACAGTACTAAATAAATCTTTATTTAACATAACAATTCAATCATCACATAAAAATGTTACTAAAAATGTTAATATCACCTGACAAGGTGTTTTGATCTTTTCCTTTTTATAGCCATCCCTGCCCTTTCTTTCTCTTTTTCTCTTATTCTTTTTCCATTTAATTATTTTATGCTTCCATAATCATATTGCTGCTTCTAATTCTGATTATAAAATTTTACATTATATCGAATATAGTTCTCTTTACCATTGATAATGTATTCTTAAAAGAAAAAAATTAATTATTTGTAATAAATAATTTAATTCATAATAAACCAATATCTAAAATAATTGGTATAGTATATTTGTTTGTAATATACCGATAGTTTTCACATTATACAATAGTGATAATTTACTGCATGGAAGTTGATATGTTAAGAGAACAATTAATAAAAGAAAATTGTTAATATATTGCATATGCAATATCTCATGAATGCTTATCATGTGATGTCTGTGATTTTATGTCTGTCAAAAAAAAATATTGCATGAATATTCTAAATTGTAAGTATTGTATAATGCAAGTTCTATGCATGTTATAATTCTAATAATTATAACATTAAAATATATTTTCATAAGTTCTTAAATTATTCATATTATGTACATTTTTAATTTTTTATTTTCTTCATTGTCAAAATCTTTTAAAGCTTATATAATATTACATACATACTTTATGAGTATATTCTATACAACCGTATATTTGAAAATATTAATATAAATACATAACTATATCTAATTAATTTTATTATTGTATTTTTAAAAATTTATATTAACTTCCAGTAGAAATTAGTTACATAGGGTCACTCATTTCAATCTATAAATGCAATTATCTTCCCAAATATTTTATATTTGCACAATGTTTCCAATTGAATTTGTTCTATTTCAAGGAGAAATTATTTTCATAATTTTCTTATGAATGTTAACTTTGTTTAACAACATTGTCTAACATCTTAATAAAAGAACGATGATTTCTTAACAATATTGAAATTAAAATACCTCCCAAACTAACAATTTGTTACTTATATGGGTTAATATTTTTTTTACAAAGAATGTTGAACTGCATTAACTAATTTATTAAAAAGTATATGAATCCATTTAAAAAAGCATAGTTAACCCACAAAAAGACTAATAACATTAAATTGAAACATTTTTCAAATAACAAAAATTCAGAAAGATAATTGCATTTATAGATTAAAATGAATCACTCTGTATATTTTTTTTTTAAATATTTAATAACCTTCCTTTAAATTAAAATCTCTACTTTTATTTCCTTTGGCTTTCTAAACTTTTTGCATAAATATAAAAAAATACTATTTTTGTATAGTATATGTATTTACAGTTAACAAATTATACACAAATCGCAATCTGTATGCATTATATTTAATATCTGTATAGCATGTATCTAGATGCTTTATGAAATTTTTTATATTTACA